GAGGCCCGGGGGTCTTCTGTGAGAGGCCCCGGCGCCTTCTGAGACTGCCTGCTCCGCCTCATTTCCCCCCCCCCCGGCACGCCGCCGGACCAGGCCGTTTGCTGCAGCTTCGAGGGGCCTGCGCCTGTCGTGGGTCGTCACCCACGGGGTCCTACCTCGATCCGATCGGTCCGATTCCATATCGGTTTCGGCCAGGTCGATCCGATTCGATTTCGATGTCCCGCCGATCCGATGCGACCCGCCTCTTGCATGCCGTTGTTGTGCATCCTGGGGCAGCCGACCCGATTCGGTTTTTGACTCCGCGCCCGCGCGGCCCGGTTCGACAGGCGTCCCGATGCGGTCCGGTCGTCCGACTCGAGGCGGGCTGCTCTGGCCCGCGGGGGGGGAGAGAGAAAGCCGTGCACGTCAGAGGTGCCCTGGCAAAAACACACGTCTGTGGAAAAAACACGTCTGTGGAAAAAAAAAACACACCGTGGGGAAAACACACACAGTGTGTGTTTTTCCCACAGACGTGTGTGGTTTTTCCCACGTGTGTGTTTTTTCCCACAGACGTGTGTTTTTTCCCAAAGATGGGCGGCGCAAGCTGCTGCAGTGCACTTCTGGCGGCTCTGCGATGTGCGCCGGTCGGCGCACTGGGCCACTCGTGGCCGGTGGAGGTCCTCGAGCGAGCATGGGTGCAAGCATTAAGTCGGGCCTGTCCCCCTGCAGGGGGATTTTCGACGAAAAATTTTAAATACCCTAAGAATAGGAAAATATACGCAAAAAATAGTATGGGGACCATTTGTTTGAATATTTTTTGACCTTTTTGGGGTATTTTTTGGGGTATTTCTTATTTTTCGTAGAAAATCCTTCTGTAGGGGGACATGCCCGACATAATGCAAGCACGAATGAGGTTATGATGCAGCCTGAATCACCAGAAAGAAATGCGAGCACCAAGGACGCACCGAAGCTGGAGGGTGTTCACGCGTCGGGCTCTGGCAGGCGATGCTCGCTCGACACGGTTTCGATACTTTTCTGGGTGCTCCGAATTATTTCTGGGATTTGGTTTTTGAATGAGGGTGCAATTGCGGCGGGGATGCGAAGATCTTCGTGCTTCGCGCGTGGCGGTTTGGATCAGAGCGGTTATGCCCATCTTGTAGAGGAGCTCGGATGAGTACGGCTTTACAGATCCACGTCGTTCATCCCCCGCTCCCCCAGGAAGGAGGCTTCCCAATCGCAAGGGGATGGGGGGAGCGCCAGGAGGTGGAAGTGTGTGAATGCCCGATCCCTAGGGACATCCACTGACCAACGCACCGATCCTGGCCAGGCCCATCCTGGGCCTAGGGCAAAGTCGGGCCCGTCCCTCTACAGGGGGAGTATTCCAAACTAGTTAAAAATAGTCTGGGGACTATTTTTTGAGTATTTTTGGGCATCGTTTGAGCATTTTTTTGCATATTTTTGCATTCCGTCCAAAATCCCCCTGTAGGGGGAGGCCCGACCTAATCTTGGATCATCGAGCCAAAAAAACACGCGCGAAACCGAAACATGCACGGGAAATGGACGTCCGAGCGACGGCAAGTAAGGTGGTCAGTTGAGGCCCCCCAGTCGGACACGTGGCGGGCGTCCTAGATTCGACGCGGGTGCAGGCAGCCTGGATTAGAAGGTCGACCCTGCCAGATCAAGGGTGCCCTCGTGTCTCCTGTGTCTGGCGGCCCATGCCTCCTGCATTTCTGTGGCAACGTGGCCCTCGGAGGAGTCTTGTGTACTCTCGCGTGTCCTCTCCAATCAAGTCCGACTGTAGCTGCGCGGATAACCGTGCGATGAGACAGAGGAGGTCCCCCGAAGACGCAGCATGAGCCAGAGACTCGAATGGCTTGGCGCAGCGAGTGGGTCCAGGCCACAGCGGACGCAAATGTCGCCGCAAAGGAGCGGGCGATTCCCGTGCCGCTGGCCGACAAGAATTGGGCGCAGATACAAGCTGGGCAGGCTGCGGGGGGGCGCTCCAAGGTCGCGCGCGCCAAGCCCCCCCCCAGCCTGGACTGGCTGCGGGGCCCGCTGCCGCCGCTGCACAAGGACTTCTACCTCCGCCACCCCGAGCCGATGCTGCAGTGCGAGGAGTACTCCTTTGGCAACCTGGAGAAGGCGCACCCCGTGATCGGGAGGCGCACCGAGGAGGAGGTGGAGAAGTTCCGCCAAGAGCATGGCATCTGCGTCCTGTCGATGCGCGGCCGGCCACCGCCGAAGCCCTTCCCAGAAGAGCAGGGAAGGCACAAACACACAATCATAGACACAGAGACACACACACCACGCACACACGCACGCACGCACGCACGCACACGCACAAGCACGCAAACACACAAACACACAACAACGCACAAGCACACAACCACACACGCACACACAAACACACAAACAAACGCACACACGCAAACGCACAAACACACACACAAGCACACAAACACACGCACGCACAAACACACAAACACACAACACACAAACACACAAACACACAAACACACAAACACACAAGCACACAACCAAGTACACACAACCACACAGACACACACACAAACACACAAACGCACACATAGACAAACACACACACAAACACACAAACACACAAACACACAAACACACAACCACACAGACACACACACAAACACAAACACACGCACACGCACACACACGCACACACGTACACACAAACAGACAAACACACGCACACACACCAACACACAAACACACAAACACACAAAGACACAAACACACAAACACACAAATCCACACACACACACGCACAACACACAACTTTCAACCACACACACAAACGCACAAACACTCAAGCACACAAACACACAAACATACAAACACACAGACACAAAAAGCACACCAACAAACAAACACACAAGCACACGCACACACGCATACACTCACACACAAACACGCACGCACGCACGCACACACACACGCGCGCACACACAAACACACGCATGCACACAAACACGCAAACACGCACACACGCACATACGCGCACACGCACACACACACACGCACACACGCGCCTACGCACACCCATACGCACGCACACAAGCACACGCACACGCACACGCACACGCATACGCACACGCACACGCACACGCAGACGCAGACGCAGACGCACACGCACACGCACACGCATACGCACACGCACACACGCACGCGCACGCACACACACACACACGCACCCCCCTCCACACACAGACAGAAACATAGACAGACAGACAGACAAAGACAGACAGACAGACAGACAGACAGACAGACAGGCAGACAGGCAGACAGGCAGACAGAGACAGACACACACACACACACACTTAGACACGCACACACACACACACTTACACACGCACACACACTTTCGGAGGTCCGCTCGGATTTCTTGTGTGGGCGCCAGGCCCCCCCTCCCCGCATCCCTTCACAGCGCGCGGAACGCGCAGGTGGCCGTGCTGGAGGCGCCACCGGGGGGGTCCTGGGATGGGGTCCGTCGCCCGCCCAAAAATCCGCGCGGACCTCCGGAGGTCTTTGTTTGAGCCGCTCTCTGCCCTTCTGCCTTCCAGTCCTTCTCCGAGACCTCGTTCCCCGACTTCGTCGAGCAGCTCGCGTACGAGCTCTTCACCGAGAGCGCGGCGCCGTTCCCCATCCAGGCACAGGCCGCGCACCCGCCCGGCTGCCGCCGCCGCAACCGCTTGAAGGCCGTCCATTCCCCTCGGCCTCCCACTCCTCCTCTCCGCCTCCGCCTCCTCCTCTTCCTTCCCACCCAGGGGGTTGGGGGGTCCGAATGGGATGCTAAGGTGGTGGCTTATGTTTGGCCCAGCCTGGCTTACGCGTAGGTTATAGGTGCCTATAGTTCTCCTCCATGTTGACTCCTCCGCCCCTCCCTCCCCCCTCCTCCTCTGCCTTCCTCCTCTCGCCCATGGCTTACCCGCCTCGCCCCTGTCCCCCCCTCCCTCGCTCTCGCCTCGCCCTCGCTTCGCGCTCGCCTCGCCTGCTGCTTCTCCCCCGTGCCCCGCTCCATCTTGTGCATCCTCCCGGAGGCCTCCGCCGGACGCAGGCTGCAGTCTTCCACCCGCGGCGGGAAAGTCAGGCCGCAAGGCGAGAGTTCGTGCATTTTGGACGCAAGGAAAAGGAGGAGGAACGAAACGAGGAGGAGGATGAGGAGGGTAGGCCCATCTGAGGGCCAGCGGGTCCGCCAAGTCCGCTGCTGGCACTCGGCGCTGTAGGCGGAGGAGGAGGAGGAGGAGGAGGCGACCCTGTGTCTTGAGCTCTTTGCAGCTTGATCTGGATCAGAATCAGGGGCCTCGATGATCGCCGAGACATCCGCCGACCCAGGGCCTCGTTCCTTCACAGTCGTCCTATCCCCATCCCCGCTCTCGTGCTTCCTGCCCCCTCGCCCGCGGCACACCATCCGTCAAGGCGCGCGGCGACGGCACGGCACGGCGGTTGGGTTTGGGTGCGCGCGGAGATGAGGTCTGCCCCCGCCGTCGCAGACCTGGGACTCCTGGCGCGCACTCGTCCACCCCACAAGTGCACGTGCGTGTGCAAAAGCTGGTATACATACAGATGCGTGCGCATGCACACGCGATTGCTACACGTCTGGGTGTGCGTGTGTGCATGTACACGAGCGCAGCTACACTGTTTATATTGGCCTGCCGCCAGGTGGCCCACCGAAGATGCTTCGTCTCCAGTGTGTCCCGAGGGGGCACATGTTTGCAGAGCTTACTGCAGAGGAAGCATGCCTAAGATTGTTATGGCGGTATTTCCTCTTGTATGTATCTGCTGCATCTGGGCGTCACCAGACATTGCCGCCGCGTCTCGTCGTCTTCGGGAGGCTGGAGTCGGCGCTGCGGGGGAACACACGCCGATTTCGGCTACACACTGGGGCCCCAGAGGGGTTCGGAACCCTAGTGTTTTCCCCTGTGCCCGCGCCGTCGACGTCGAGAGTTGAATTCCCACCCACACCCACACACACCGCTTGTATGTATGGATGCAGGCAGACATACGATTACATGTATGTGTGCGTATTTGTGTATATATATATATATATATATATATTTACATACATCAGAGTAGGCCGAGGGGGGGCGGGCCGGTGCCACCCTCCCCCATGGGCGCCCCCTGGGACTTTCGGGGCGTCATAGACCCCCTGGGACTGCCCCGGGCCGCTTCCAAATTGCCCACGACAGGCCACGCGGGCCGTACAGATGGTCAAGAAAGCCTCAAGAGGCCCCGAAGACGCCCAAAATGGCTTCGAAGAAGCGTCCCAAGAGAGCCCCGAGAGGCCAAAATCGATAATTCTCCGTTGTGTGTTTCTATGTTTTTGGTTTTGATCGCCTTTTCACTTCTCCGACGCTCCAACAAGGCCCAACAGGTCCTCAAGAGCGCCCCAAGACTGCGCCGGGAGGCCCCCCAGACGGCCAGAAGACGGCCCTGGACAGCCCCAAGACAGCCCAAGAGGCGCCCCAGAGGGCCCTAGAAAGCTCAAGATGGCCCCGAGAAGGCTTCCAGATGGGCCCACGAGGGGGAACAAAAAGTCAACATTTTATTTTTCCACCTGAAAGCTTCCCAGGAGGCCCCGAGAGAGCCCCAAAACGCGCCAAGGAGGCCCCCAAGAGGCCCCGAGGAGGTCCCCAAGAGGCCTCCAAAAGACCCCAAGAGGCCCCAACACGAGCGCCACCCCAGCCCCCTCCGTCAAGTTGCGTTCACGCCGCGCTACGCACTCGCCGTCGCGCAAACATCTCGGGCCTGGGCTGTTCCGGGAGATCTTCCCGGAGGGGCCTCCGGGAACATCTGCTTCTGGGGGGCGAGGATCCGCGCCTTACCCCTTGCCGTCGTCGTCGTCGTCATCGTCGTCGTCGTCGTCGTCGTCGTCGTCGTCGTCGTCGTCATCGTACGAGGGCTTCGTCGTCCTCGTCGTCGTCGTCGTCGTCGGTTCTTCTTGAAACTCGGGGTTCGGAGTTCGAGAAGGTTTTTCGCAGTTCTCGGCCCCAAGGGGCCCGTTTTCGGGCCCCGGGAGTACAGCATCACCCCCAGGACTTCTTGCGGAAGGTGTGTCCGGCGGGCCCGACGTTCGGGGGGACTCCGGCCGTGGCGTCGTGGCTGCCCGAGGAGGTCGGCCCTCGACGTCCGACGCAACATCGAGGGAGGGAGCTGCTTCTCCCGTCTGCCTCTCGCCCTCGGGGCGCCGCCGGGGACCTCCGAGGACCTCCAAAAGCCCCCGAAGGCCACCGAAAACAGCCCCAAACTTCCGAGCGCCTTCGACACAAGTGAGCTGCAGATCCTCCTCACGAGGCACCCGAGACGGCCCAAGACGGACCCAGGACGGCCCCAAGAGGAGCCCAAGAGGGGGACCACGAACTGAACATTCGAGCCTTCCGCCCCAGGAGGGCCCCAGGCGGCCCCCAGAGGTCACGGAGAGGCCCCAAGATGCCCCCGAGCGGCCCCCAAGAGGCCCCCAGGAAGCCCCAAGATGGCCCCACCACGCAAAATTCGTTGATCTTCCGTTTGTTTCTGACAGATTTTTACGTTTTCGACTTCTCCGCTTCCTGACGCTCCCAGACGGAGTAGGAGACTCTTGAGTTCGCTCCAAGACGGCCCAAGAGGCTCCGAAGACAGCCCCGAGACGGCCCAGGAGGCCCCCCAGATCTCCCAAGAGGGCTCCAAAAACGCCCACCAGAGGGAACACAGGTGCCATGCGATCCGCCATTTCGCAGTCTCCAGCTTCAGAGGCCCCCGGGAAGCCCCCGAAGAGAGGCTCCCCAGAAGGCACCCAAGAGGACCTCAGGAAGCCCCAAGAGGCCCCCAAGAAGTTCCCAGGGAAACCCGAAACGGCCACCCGAGACACCCCAACAACCACTCATGTTTCCAGGAGGCTTTCCCGGAACATGATTCAGCAGGCTTCTGCCCCCCCTTCCGAAACAGTGCTTCCGAAAGGCCTCGCTCGGAAACGCCACTCTGGCACGGGTGGTCCAGATGATGATGACGATGATGCTAAGTATTATGGGGATGGCGATGATGGTGATTCTGAGCATGATGATGCCGATGCTGATGATGGTTCTGGTGATGGTGATGATGATGATGACCATGCTAATGATGAGGTTGATGATGACGACGATGATGATGACGACGATGATGAAGATGATGCTGATGGTGTTCGCTACGATGCTCATGATGATCATGGTGATGATGGTGATGCTGAAGCTGAAACTGATTATGATGATGATGTTTTGTATTCGCATTTTTAATGCTAATATTACTATCATTCTGAAGGTTAGGGGATGATTTCGTTGTTGATGGTAATAATGTTCATGACGATGAATATCACCACGATGGCCACCATGATTATGATGATTATGCTGCTGCTGATGATGATTGTCGCCCTGACACTTCACGAAGCATGAAAAGGCCCGTCAGAAAGCTTCCACGGACGGCGCAGGAGGACGGGGAGGAGGCAACCCAGGAAACGGCTTCGGGAGAGGGACCCTAGAGGCCCCCAGGAACCCCCCGGAGGCCATCAGCCAAGCGGGAAAGGGAGCCGTGACGCAGCTGCATCGTGATCAACCAAGCGGGAAAGGGAGCCGTGACCCCCAGAGCCATCAACCAAGCGGGAAAGGGAGCCAAGGGAAATCTTGGGATGCACACAATGCCCACTGACAACATCTTCGGAGTCGACTGGAACATAAGCGCGCGCGAAGCGCGCGCGTGGTTGTGTATATATATATATATACATATGTATATCTGTATGTATGTGTATATGTACAGTCGTAAATACATACGCAAGACTGCATTGGAGTTTCGTGCCCTGCACCTTGATGCTTCAAGGTTCTCACGGGCGAGCGATGAAGAAATAGAGAGCGAGATAGTATGTCTTTGTCTTTGTTTTAGCGCTGTTGTTCTCTTTCGTCCCTCCTTTGTTTTTTTTGTTCCCCCTATTCCCATTTCTTCTTCCACGTTCTCGCCATTCTCTGCGAACCCTTCCCGTTCCCATTTTTGCGGACCGTGCTGATTTTTTTGCGGAGGCCCTTCCTTGAGGGGCCTCGTGGGGGGCCCGTAAAGGCCTCTTGGGGCTTGCTTGGGGCCTCTGGAGGAGAGTGTGTGTGTTTTCCCTTTTGGGGCGGCATAGCGCGCGTTATGCCCCCCTTCCTCCCCTCCCCCCCCAAAGCGTAACGCAACCCCCCAAATAGAGTGTTTTGGGGCGTGTCTTTGGGCCATCTTGGGCCGTCTTGGAACTTGTTGTGAGCCATCTTAGAACCTGACAGGCTGTATTCGGGTTATCTGTGGGCAGTCCTGACGCCTTTTTGGCCACCCTTGGGGCGATATCTTGGAGGTCTCTCGGGCGGTCTCGGACGCCAGGAACACCGAAGAGCCGAGCGTCTGGACGACGCGCAGACTCCATCATAGCATGTTTGGTTTTTAATTTCGAGGGCCTCTTTGGGGTCTTCTTTGGGGTCTTCTTTGGGGTCTTCTTTGGGGTCTTCTTTGGGGTCTTCTTTGAGGTCTTCTTTGGGGTCTTCTTTGGGGTCTTCTTTGGTTTTTAATTTCGAGGGCCTCTTTGGGGTCTTCTTTGGGCTGTCTTCGGGCGTCCGGTGGGCGTGTGGGGCCGCTCGGGGCCCTCGTGGAGCCATCCGGGCGCCCTCCGGACCGCTCTGGACTCGCCGGCGAGGCCTGGCAGGGCCGTCTGGGAGGCCCGGAAGACCCGGGAGACCCTCTGCAGAGTGATCGAGACGGCCCCCGGGGACCAGATTTTTGGGCGTCTCGTGTCGGGGTGGGGGGGAGTCTCGCACAAACGGTCCCTCTTGCTTCGGGTCATTCTTGCGTGTAGCCGAAAGCACGTGTGCAACTTGGGGGGAAGGCGTTTCGGTAAAACCCCTGTTCCTCCCCGCGGCGGGGAGGAAAGGGAGGTATAGTCCACAGCCGTTCGCAGCAGAAACACAGCCGTTAGCAGCAGCAGGTAGAATCCACGTGAACGACGGAAGAAAACGTGTGGTGTTGGGCTGGGCCTGTTCGGCTCCGGGTGGGGTGGTGAGGGAGCGGGCGGCGGAGCGCGCGAGGGAATGCGGCCGCACTCCCCGCCCCGCCCCGCCGCCGCGCCCACCCCGTGCCTGTCGATGAGGTGCCCTGCGTGCCTCTCTGTTTGGGAACAGGGTCGGCCTTGCAGCTGGGTCCCTCCGTGGGTCTCCCGCTGCGCCGGCATTGGCGCGTAAGCTCCCCGCGTTGCGGTCGTACGCGCCGGAGCGCCAGCAGCGTGCCCCGCTGGCGGCCCGCGCAAGTCTCGGCGTAGGGTCGCTGCGGCGTCTCTCGGTGGCGAGCGAAGGGGGGCAAGCGAGAAGGAGGAGGCCTCCTCAGAAGGCGGCGAGGCTTCTCAGAGGCCCTCGCGCCTCTGATACACGTTCTGCAACTTCGGGGTAGGAGCAGACAACTTGTCAGAACGCCGGGGGACCTCGAGCCCTCTGAGAAGGCCCGCCCCTTCTCTCTTCTCCCCCCCTCGCTCGCCGCCGAATCTCGCGTGAGACCCGTTTCTTTCCGTCGCTCACGTGGGGCGTGCCAAAAAAGGCTTTGCCTTCGAGGGTCGAAGGAGTTGCCATCCCTTCCGCGGCGGAAGGGCGGCGGAGGGGTGGCGGAGGGTCGACGGGAGTGAAGCGAGGCCGTCTCCGCCGGTGGAAAGGGCGGCGGAAGGTGGCGGAAGTGAAACATGCACCCCCAGGAGATGAAAACACTTTTCTGGACGCCCGAAATGGGTACTGAAAGAATGGGTACTATGCCTAACAGCGGATCTTGTTCATTTTGAACAAGATCCGCTGTCCAAGCCGCCGCGGCCTGTGTCCTTTCGAGACAGAAGGCCGCCCGCCCAACAGCGGCCGCTGTTGGTTTGGGACAACATTTGCTGTTGGGCATAGTACCCATTTTTTCGGTACCCATTTCGGGCGTCCAAAACTTTTGGGTTCGAGGTTTCCGGAATCCGCCACGTGTGCACGTGTGCCTTCAGGAGGAGCAAAAACACACAGACACAATAGATCCTCGATTCCCCCGAAAATAGGGGAAATCATGGGAAGTTGGGGGGAAGACGAAGACCCTAAACATATGGGGAACATATGGGGAATACTTTTATTTGTGCGTATTTATTCCAGGGAGCGTAAGACCCGGGCTTGCCAGGACTCGGGTTCGCCATCGTTTTTTGACGACCGCGCCTCGGATTTTGACGAGGAGGAGTTTCGTGGGATGTCTGCAGCGGGAGGCCTCGTCAAAATGCAGGCTCGGCCTCGTCATTTTTATGACCACCTCGTCGGGGATTCCCGAATCCCCTGAACCCAGGTCTTACGTCCCCCTGATTTATGTGTGTGTCCTGGGGCCCCTTTATGCACGCGTCCGTCTCCCCTCTCCCCCTCCTCCACGCTGCGCCCTGCGCCCTCCCTCCCGTCGCGAGGCGTGGCCCTGCGCCCTCTCCGGAGCGGACGTCATCGCAGTGGCGCTCGGCTCTGTTTGGGGCGGTCGTCGTCGTCGTCGTCGTCGTCGTCGTCGTCGTCGTCGTCGTCGTAGTGATTGTTTTTTTGTCATTGGTTATGTCGCTGTTTGTGCGTCTGAGCGTTCGTGTGTGTGTGTGTGTGTGTCTGTGTGTGTGTCTGTGTGTGCGTGAGTGTGTGTGTGTGTGCGTGAGTGTGTGTGTGTGTGTGTGTGTGTGTGCGTGAGTGTGTGTGTGTGTGTGTGTGGGCGCGTGTGTGTGTGTGTGTGTGTCTGTGTGTGTGTGTGTGTGTCTGTGTGTGTCTGTGTGTGTATGTGTGTGTCTGTGTGTGTGCGTGAGTGTGTGTGTGTGTGTGTGTGTCTGTGTGTGTGTGTGTGTGTCTGTGTGTGTCTGTGTGTGTCTGTGTGTGTGTCTGTGTGTGTGTCTGTGTGTGTGTGTGTGTGTGCGTGAATGTGTGTGTGTGTGTGTGTTGCGTGAGTGTGTGTGTTTGCGTGTGTGTGTGTGTGTGTGTGCGTGAGTTTGTGTGTGTGTGTGTGCATGCGCGTATGAGTTATTCATTTGTGTTTGTGCGTGTGTGTGTGTGTTGTGTGTGCTTGCATTTCTGATGCTTCTCTTCTCTCCAACCCCTCCTTTCTTCCCTGCATGCTCTTCCGTGCTTCTCCTTTCCCCTCCCTCCCCCATCCTCCCTCCTACTCCCTGTGTTTCCCCTGCTCCTCCTCCTCCTCCTCTCCCTTCCGATCCACCTCCCCTCCACCTCCCCCTCCCAGTACCCTCCTCCCCATACGCCCTTTTTCCTTCTCCTCTCCCTACCCCGTGCTCCTCTCCCCCACCTCCCTCCTCCCCCGTCCTCCCCCTCGCGCTTCCCAGGGGCAGGGGATGAGACGGAGAAGAAGACAGAGGATGAGTCGGATGAATAGATTTAAGGCGGGCCTGTCCCTTTACAGGGGGAAAAGTCAAAATAGTCAGAAAATAGTCTGGGGACTATTTTTTTGAGTATTTTGGGGCATCTTTTGAGCATCTTTGGAGTATTTTGTTATTTTTGGCCCCAAATCCCCCACTGTAGGGGGACAGGCCCGACTCGAGAGTAGATGGAGGAGGAGAAGGAAGAGGAAGAGAAGTAGGAGGAGGAGGAGGAGGAGGAAGAGGAGGAGGAGGAGGAGGAGGAGGAGGAGGAGGAGGAGGAGAACCGGAGCAAACCCAGGATGCGTCAGCGGTGCTGCACTGCGCTCTCCGGTCCCACGCCCTCTCCTCGGAAGTTCCCGCAGCGATTCTCTCTTCACTCCGGAGCGCGCCACCCCTGAATATGACGAGCGCCTGGGGGGCCTGGTACTCGGGCGAGATCCCAGCTTGTGTACATGATCCACCCTTCGCGTTTCTAGCCAAGATCAGCGCAAAAGAAGCATGATGATTCACCACCCACCAAACCACCCCAACCCAACCCGAAGGCTCAGATTTGCCTTCGATTTCCAGTGGGGGGGGGTCGAGACGCATTGACTAAAACACAGGAGGAAAAAAAATAGTGCAAACAAAAAGCAACGTGCCGCAATCAGTTTTTGATTGGCTTGCTGGTTTGTGGAACCCTTACCTCCCCCCAACCCGAAATTCGGGTCTTCGGGTTGGGTTGGGGTGGTCTGGAAGGTAGTCAAGCTAAGATCAGCGCAGAAGACGCACGATGGCACAGTTCAGGGAAGTGTCCAGCGATAGCCCCGTTGTGAACAGGATCAGCCCTCCATCCGTACACGTGCTGCACAGATTCAGGGTCGTGGTCGTGCAGGATGCGGGTGTCTCAAGCGAGAGGCCTAGTTTGAAGCGGAGCCGGCCTCCATCATTAGAATTGTTCAAATTCGACGAAGGCATCTCTACACCACCACCGTGCCAGACCAGGGCCATCCTGGGCCGTAGGATGGTGTATAGACCCTCCTGGCTCGGCCAGGAGGGCGTATACACTATCCTAGGGCCCAGGATGGCCATGGTCTGGCACGGTGGTGGTGTATAGATGCTTTCTGCGTATCGAAACCTGAAAAGCGGA